AAACAGATTAATAATCTGATTTAAAAGTGAAGCCGTGCCGTGTTCGTGTGTATTTGWATGTGTGTGTGTTTGAAGACCGAAGCTGCCGACTCTCCTTCGAGTCTGGCCTGCAGATGCTGGCTGCGGAGAGCTCACAACGTCCCAGAATTCCTTGCAGGAATTCCTCGTTCCCGATGAGCACTAGAGGGCTGAAGCTGGACCTGGAAATATAAATAGCCTCAACAACATGACGGAGTTTAATCGGGTGGCGCTGCAGGAACATAATGACTTGCAGAGAAGCTCAGATGTACGATTCCCACTACAAGCAACAAGTGTTCTTTTCATCAAGTCAGCTGATTTTCCAGCAGAAATCCCTCGCAGCTGTTAAAATGGGAAAAGTGCCAAAATCTTCCCATTTAAAGGCTAAAAAAACCCTCTTTTTCCTCTGCAGCCTCAGATCTTTACTTCAACTTTCCACCTTCAACTTTGACCTGCACATTTAGTGGAGAATGCTTCCTTTTTTCCTTTCCCCTTCTCTACTCACTGTTAACGTCTTACCACCCTCACTTTTTTTCTTTCCTTTTTTTTTTTTAGATCGCCATTATGCAATAGCCTCTTATTTCACTGCAGACATGGAAAACAGGAACGGCCTTTTTCCTCTCGGCTCGGGCAGCAAAATTAAGATTCTTGCACACTTTTTCTTTTTTTTTTTTTCCATTCGAAACATTCTGCTCCATGTTTTCAGTCCAGCAGCCTTCAACCTTCACAGTCCAGACAGAACACACCTGAAAGTTATTTTTTTATTTTTTATTTTTTAACTCGGCACCGGGGAATTGTAGTTTTCCATAGTATGACCACTGTAAGTTCAGCCGGTACGTTCTCACTTCCCCTCCCCAGAACTGACTGTACTTTCTTCAGAGCTGCTGAGCAAATAAATGATTTCATGTCAGCCGTCATTCAGATAAGAATGGTTGGACCTGCTTCAAACGTAAATGGAGATTTATTTGTAATAGTGCATGTTTGTATGTGCTTTCCAGCCATTTCATTAGATCTACACACTTTCTTCAAACCTTGTCTAATGTTGGTGATCCTCAGCAATTTGTAGCTTCAGAATCTTGTTTTTAGCTGACAGCTGGCACCGGTGTGGTGTTCTGCTGCTGCAGTCCATCTACTCAAGGTTGTTGTGTGTTCAGAGAGGGTATTCTGCAGACCTTAGGTTGAAATAAACAGTTCTCCAACCAGTCTGCCCATTCTGCTTTTACCTCTGACATTAACACAGCTGCTTCTCCCTGGAAGTTTTTTTCTTTTTCAAACCATTCTCTGTAAACTGTAGAGGTGGTTGTGCAAAAACCAACCAGTTTGTGTTTTAAAGTCACCTAAACTCCCTCTCTCCCAGCGTTCTGATGCTTGGTTTGAGCTTTAGTGTATAGTGTCAGGTCCTTGTACGACCGGTGTCAGAGTCTGGTCCGCATTGCCGGTAGTAAGTCGGGCTCGTTTCCGGTGAGAGTTGGACTCCTCCAAGGCTGCCCTTTTTCACCGATTCTGTTCATTACTTTCATGGACAGAATTTCTA